AATTTTTGTTTTATGCACGGGTCACCGGATCAACAACATGTTAGCAGCATAGTATGACGATATTATGTAGAATAATGAATATTATATAGGTACGTTTATATACGCAACGACGCGGTACATTTTTAACGAACTCAGGTGTAGGTCATGTTATAGTCGACTCGTAAACGGATGTTTAGCGAGCAAAAATATTAAACGTACCAACGACTCGGTATTTCACCCTGCAGTCGTCCGCCCTCTCGTCAATCGACGTTGCTATTGAAATTCGGTGTAGTCTAAGTTATATGGCTTGGTATTATAATTTCTGCCCCGTCACAGAGTATTACGCGCGTTCTATATGTATATGTTATAATTATATTATATCATACGTAGGGCTGTGAATTTAATGCACTAAAACACACTTAAAAATTGCATTTGAAATGTCAAAAAAATGCAATAAAGTAAGCACTTAAAGCGTTAAAAACTACGGCATAAAATGCACTTAAAATAGTTTTAAATTTAATTTTAATATTGATATTGATATTAGTATGTCATGTGCATAGTAATTTATTTATTAAATTTAAAAAAAAATTAATTAATTAAAAATTGATTTAATTTGAACTTTTCTAGGAAAATTTCCTTATTTTATCGAATCATTATCTTTACCTAACCCATATACAGCTTGTGTGTATATTATTACATCATAAAATATGAATTATATGTATACATACACAGATCGTGTAAAACAAAAATAAGGTTTTCTAAGATGTTAATTGACGGAATTTAGTTAAAAATACTGAATATAATGAACTAAAAAAGGAAAATATGTCCTAAAAAATAAAAAATGTAAAATAGAAGTTTTATAAATGGATTTATTGTTAYATAATTCAAATTATGAACTAACAAAGCTATGTTTAACTTTCATAAAAAAAATGTGTTTTCTTATACAAATTCACATCTCTAAATTTATGCGGAATGATTATAGCGTGGCAGAAATTGTATATAAATCCTATAACACTGCGAATCGCCGCGCGGTATTGCACATTTTTATTTCGACCTATATCGCGTTACACGATCCTTTTTTTACGCTTTCCCAGCGAGGAAAAGGATAATCGTGGGGTAACGGCGGTCTCCGGTTGATTTATCCTTTGTACAAATTCCAGAAACCGTTTTGGTCGTGGTGATCTGTTCGCAAACACACCGCAAAGAAAACGTATCCGCGGTGGTTGACAACATATAGGTATATCCGCAGAATTTACACCCCATACACCATAGTCAGGTTTCTCCCAATTATATTAGGGTATGACTTAGTGTTTGCTCATCGTTTGCGTGTGTRCCCTAATCCGATTACCGTTTCAATTCGCAGGTCACACCTCAACGACATCCGTGATAGGTCGGTGCTGCGACTTTTCGAGTCAGCCGAGGGTGGTCCGCTACCCCAAGGCCTCACGATAGCCGCACCCACGTGGGACCAAGACCAGTCGTACTTTAGCGAGCCGGAATTTGATTCGGAATATCAACATCAACACATACACAAGACCAAGGTGAGTCCTAGTATAATTTACACACACACACACACACACATATATATATATATATATTTATACCTAGTATAAAAGATATTATATAGAATCTATTGGATTTCGATAAAATGAGGTTGCTATAATAATAAACGCTATTGTATTAAATTTTTTTTGCCYATTTTATATGCCAAAACGCATTTATTTATCAAGTCGCTTATGTACACGATTTGTTTTTTTCTCTTGACTGGAGTATATTCGTTTAAATCTATATCCGTTTTCTACCCTTATGTCACTCACAGATTGAGGTAACGCGAGTACTGGAACGTCYCAGCAAAATACACATTACATTAAGTCGATACCTTTTATAAGTTTTATTATATATATGTCTATCACGAAGAATGAATAAACAAACTTTCATCTTTAGTGAAACTATTGTGCTTAACGTTAAGTCAAGCATGCTAATATATTTCTTTCTATAAAGTATTTTATTTTAAAAATTTTACCCTGCAAAATTGAATAGTGTACGTGTTAGTATAAGAAAAAATGTTATCAACCAACAATAGGAGACTCTGAGCATTAAATGTGTAAGTCAATAAATAATAAATCGGCGATATATGATTGATTTATTTGAGCATTCAAGTACCTATCCAATTTAAATATATATAATTAATAATAAACCATTTTCGTTATACAATTATACATACTCCTTCAAAACTATATTTATGTTTCATACTCGTCTCCAAAGTGGGAAAAATAATAGGATTCACAAAATTAATTTTTTGTAAGTTTTTGGTTTTTATACATTTAATATTATTATTTAACGTAAGCATATTTTTTTCTAAAAAAACATGCATTTGCATAATAGCATTATAATGAGTTATTATTTAAAAAAGTTACATTTATAATTTTTACTTATTTTTATTAACTAGGTAATTAACGTTATTGGCAATTTGTAATCGTTTGCTAGTATTTATATAATTGTRGATGCTCGTGTATAGGAAATTATTTAATTGTTTTAGTTCTATAACATAAAATATTTTTTATTATTATACACTGCAAGTAGGCGTGCACAGTCTCTAAATAATTATTTTRCGCAAACCGCATGTGATTACTTTAATTAKCCAGGAAACATCTACAATTGGTTGTTTAACACTGATTGAAGTCACCCAAGTTACAACACCATTTGAGTTTTTATCGTAAATCATTTACTACTTGGATAATTACTATCGGATAATATGTAGAATAAAATATTTACTTCACAATAATTAAGTGAATTTTAATTTTAATATCGAAACTTTTATAAGTATTTCAAAAACTTTCTTTACCCATAAAAACCAATGTTTACTACATTTATTTACAACATAACATTAAATATWTACGTATTATAAGTATATGATACATGTTTTTCGCCGAGAACTGAACATGTAATTAAATTCATATCATACATATATAAGTACTAAATTATAAATTAGCTAAGACTTTTCAGATAGTATATTTTAACAGCCACAGAAAGTATAAGTACCTACAAGTTTTTCCTGGTTATAAGTATTTCATAATATTTTGTTGTTTCAAATGCAATTCGACTGTTTTCWTTTTTTTTTTTTTACCTATGCACTAACCTGCCAGGTATTTTGTAGYTAATTTTCAAAATAAAAAGTTCMAATCAAAAACATAAATCCGTATAATATTTATTTGTACATAGAATTTATTATTTTATCTAATATAATAATATGTATATTTTTATACACGGTAACAATATCACAGTTATACAATTATTTTCAAATAACATTAAGCTAAAAAAAAAAAATGCATTATAATTTATTCCTTATATAAATAATAAAAATTGTTACATAACCGCTCAACGTAAATAATTCATACAAAACATATTATTACGATATACCTACGAGTATTATGTACAAAAACTATCATTATTGTACCAACGTCATTATACAGTTTTGTGTCGGATCCAGGTTAGGTTATGTTTCTACGGGATATCAGTTATGTTGTCTGATTGTGAGGTGATTGTTGTAGCCAAAATGGAAGTGTAGTTTGTTAAGAAATTTCTCCATTAAAATAGGGCTATTACAGCAATCCTGCAGTCTCGAATCCGATCGGTTGTGAAGTGTATGCAGCACCAAATAGATTTGGAGATTAATCTGATTTATATGGCATTCGCGTTCAATTGATATAGATGAATGGAGTAACCCTAAAGTTCGATTAAAGCCTTTGATTGACTGTAGACCGAATTTTATGGCGCATGGCACGTCATTATAAATAAAGAAAAAAAGTATACCTAACCTACGAACCTGTCTTATATTCAGGATGATTCATCAAACATTCCCATCCCTATTCTTTCTTCCGATTTATGTATTTCTATATCTGCACATTTTTCGTCAAACACTCTTATAAAGCGTCCTGTACAGAAATATCGAATGAGACATGTATTAAGTATGCTGATTTCACAAAAAAWTTTAAAATAACTCAGCGCTTTAAAGTGTAATTAAAAATAAGGATAAATGTTTTTTCTGGTCTTGTGTTTCGTTGTAAACGATATAGTGATGAAATCTCAGGACTTATTATTGCATGGATCCGTTTGTCCGCGCATTCGACCGGAAACCCGAATAAGCGGTGATCGAGAACCGTTCGTGCGAGGGTGGAGGTGGACAAGCACCAGGACGGCAATATGATCGGAGAAACAATTATTTTAATAACGATAATGTATATAGTGGTGATTATGCGTTGTAAAAAAGCTCTCGTGGAAACCGGCTGAAAACGTTTATAATATATATTTGTTTATAACTATTTTGTCCTATACGACTGTACACTACGCTGTATAATACGGTTTATAAATAAATAAATTGTCTTATAATATCATACCACAGCCGGGCCGACCGTTTGCGTTTCACTCGATTTCGCCCGTGGAATGGTTTTCGATTTTCAAAAACAGTCTTTGCTTGATCGTAGAACATTTTTTTTTTTTTTTTTTTATTCACCCAAATGTATTGTAAATACGTGTTTTAGATGTACAAAAATTTCAAGCGACCACATTAAAGCAATTTGTTTTTTTTTAACTGATTGAAAATGTCTCATAAATCGGTCTTTAGTTTTGGCAAAATTTACGAATTCGGATCGCGTCCAGAATCTAGAACGTAGATCGCAACACGGCCGTCACACCCGTTGRCGTCATATCATGAAACAATAATTTACGTTTACTTGATTATGGTACAAATGTATGAGTATAGATAGTAATATTATTAATCAATGACATTAWGTTCTACGCGCTCTATTAATAATATTATATTATGTATAAAGTATGTACAGTGACGCGACCACCCACCGCCGYGCATTAATAAAGTGTATGGCGATATCGCATCAGCGGTGGGTGGCGGGTCCGGACGATTGCTGGTGGATCGGTGCCGGGCACGCGAATAWCATCAGAACTGATAGCACTTCGGCAGAGCGGGCAAGTACAGCGCGCCGTTGTAGAACTGTTTGCGCGTCTCGTGCCAGGACATGACGGAAGCCGCGCGGAACGGGTCCGTCACGCAGGCTTTGCACACGCTGGCCACTTTCATCACCTCCCACTCGGCCGGTTCGCGGTTCCGGTCATGCGGACCACCGCCGTTGGACCGAGCGTTCCGGGTGGCGGTGGTGGTGACGTCGACTACGGCAGTGACCGGAGTGTCGTCGGACACCGACTGCAGGAACAGCGGAATCCAACTTCGTTTGGAACGGACCAGGCTGCGGCGGCGGTTGTCGTCGCGCTTGTCCAACAAGTTGACGCGGAACGTCTCGTCGGCGTGCGGCGCGTCGTAGAAGTCGTACAGGCCGCCGTCGAACAGCGGTAGTTGCGGCGCCGGTGGCAGTTGCGGAAGATGCAGCGGAAACGATGACGGTTGCTGCTGCGCCGGGGCGGTGGAAGTGGGCACCGCAACTCCGGGCACGCGCTGACCGTTGGCGAACCCACCGCCGTGCGCCAAATGCGGTGGCCGGGTGGCCTCCGGGGCCGGGGGCAGTGTTGGCGGTGCCTCRGTTTCAGCCTCGTCCACAGTCTCGTCGTACCCGTGATGGAAGTTGTGCACGTGATGGTGCTTGTGGTTGTTGTATGCCTTGCCCGCGGTCAGCGCCGCCTTGTACAGCGACACCAGAGTCAACTCTCCCGAGAACGCCGGATAGTGGACGGCCAACGCTTGATCTAGGTACTCCCGTCCGCTGATGGCCACGCCGCCACCCTTTATTTTCTTGCCGGCCATCTACCAAAAAAAAAAAAAAAAACTAAAATATATTAAAACTTTAAGTCAAACTGCGATCATTACGTTGGTACAATCGATCATCAGATCTGTTTCCGCTGCGGGGAGTAATCCGGAATCCGAACTTTCCAAAATCGTTTTCCGGACGACGAACGAAAAAAATAAAAGCTCACATCATTAAAGTCGTTAACCCTGCACCCGATTACCCTGCCGCTACTAAACTATATAATATAATTCCCCCCCTTCCCTATTCACGCCGCGCTAGGAATTTATTTTAATGTCTGTATTTCGTCCACTGATAGAAGATAAATTACGTCGGAAGACGAATCAGACATCGATTCTCGTATTAAAACGTTCACTCGGAAGATGATTCTTCGATTTCTTAAACTTTTCATTATTCTATTGGTTCCGGAATATTCATCACTTTTCAATATATAATATACCGGATGATCCAATAATTATCGTAAGAATCGCGTTATTTCCAAAAAACTATTTAAGTTTTTAATATTAATTTTGTAATTTTTTAAAGATATTTTATATTTTTTTTTATTGATGACATACAATTTCAATTCTTTTTTTCTAAAATAGTACATTTTTTTTAATACTTTTATGTACATAAAAATTGAATTTTGAGTTTTAACTATCTTCAGTTTAGAATTTATGTGATATAGGTATACCCTACAACGTTAGTACAGTATACCCTACAAAATGTTCCACTACCCCACCCACCTGTATAAACTTTAACTAGTTATTAGTTATAATTAATTAAGT